CAAAAGTTATTTTTTAAACAATAAATTTTGAAAACGACTTTTTTCGCATGGCGAGACAGTCTGTTGCCACAAGTCGAACGAGTGTGAAAAAAGGTTCTCAAACGAGTTTTTTACAATGCTTTTCCTACAACTGCAAAATAAAACAACCAAATACGTAATTTTTGTTTGTTAGAAAACAAATCATCAACATCAGAACTTGGTGACAATCTCAATTTATGTTGTCATGTCAAAATAAATTAAAAAATTAATTAGCAGCGTGTGAAAAACTTTACCGCACGCCGTGCGAAAAACTCTATTTTCAGAGGTTGCCTGGCGTGCGAAAAACTCCATTTTCAGAGGCAGTTTTAGGAAAAATCGTTTTCACGCTACAGCCGCTTGAGAATGTTTTATAAAACTCACGTTTACTTTTTCGCAACCCCTGTATAATGAGAAAATTTTAATTTCCAAGAACAGTCGATTAATTCCCCGTTTATGATGCAAAGTTTTCCAGTATAAAAATAAGTGAGTTAACTTTCATACATTAAGCTTCCACAATCGTTTTCAAGCTACAGCCGTTTGAGAATTTTTAGCAAACTCACGTTTACTTTTACGCAACCCCTTGTACGATGAGAAAATTTAAATTTCGAAAAATAGCCGATTTATTTTCATAAAATGAGCTTTCACAGTAGGAAAACGTTTCCCAATCCAATAAACCGTAAGCCACATCGTTCCAACATTGTGGTGCTAAAATGGCTCTTCAGGAAACTCTAATGCAAAAAATGAAAAAACTGTTCCGAGATATTGGCTCAAAGTATCACTTAACCAATTTTCAAAGAAAACAAAAGGCATACAGATCAATTTCTATACGTTTGAAAGAACAATTATCATAATTTGCCTAATTTGAGGTGTATGTTTTACTCGACCCCTGTATAATGTAAACAGGTCCATCTGCAAAAAAAGCAAGCGAGTCGTGGAACCTCTAAAAAAAATGGGCTTTCGAAACCTGCAAAGATGTTCGAAATCAATACAACCGTTTTCAAGATACAGCCCTTTAAACATTGTGCCTATAAGATTTTGCCAACTTTGTTGTTTAAATTTGTATCTGCTGCCAAAGGGCACTTATCAAAAAAACTGGCAAATACGTCTGGAGATATTGATATTAACTTACTAAAGTCCCATACAGAAATCTGAAAAAAAAATGATTGCCAATATGGCAGACATCCATATTTTTTGTACTTTTGCATCAATTTATTATTCACCCTGTATAACTTCGAAAATGCATTTCTTCGAAAAAAAATATTCTTCTCCCACGTGGTCTACAACATGGACTATCGAATACCACAAACCGCATTAAAAACAAAAATAAAATAAAAAAGTTATTATAAATTGAATATGGTGCTAAAAATTGCTTGTCCCGTTTTTTTTGGCGAGCAGTTTAGATACGTTAAAACAACATTTAATAGGTATTTAATAATTCAGAGGCGGTACGAAGTTCGCCGGGTCAGCTAGTTTATACATATTTATCTGCCTTTATTTTATACGGTTTTGGAGATATTTTGTATTTTTTAGAATATTGATTATTTGAGGAACAAGCACCATGGAGGGGATAAATTCATAATGAATTGTAATACTTCACTGTAACACAAGCTATTTTCCTCTCTGTAATTTTGAAATAAAATCTAATATTTTTTTTTTATTTTTTTTTTGTGTGGATACACTCTACAAACACCATTAAGGTAATTACATGTAAAGGAATAAACATTCACAAATACAACCATGCACCTTGCTGGGACTCGAACCCGGGACGCATCTAAACATTCCGGTATAGGATTCGGCACCTAGGCATATTTCATTGGTCTGTTTGAATTCGGACCGCCAATTGATGCGGAGTGCCGAAATCGGTAGTTGAATGTTGAACGGTGCTGAGCCTCAGGTCAGAATGGTATAATACTATGTGGAGTGCCGAATTTAAGGTCAAAATGTTAAACAGTGCTGAGTATCAGGTCCCAATGTTGCCATGCGTTTGGCGCGGTTTTTATAAAAAATCAGCTGTCCACCTCCTTCGTGTTCCTCTTAGCTACAATTTTGCGGCGGATGCGGTTTATTTCGCCGTTGCTTCATGTGTTCTTGTGCTTAAACATGCAAGATGAGTTTGCCTGGATCATTTAAACACTTTCAATGTGATGAGCAAAACCGAGCCAACATTTTGGAGGAAAACGATATAAAGCAATGGATAGAAGAGTATAGTGATATACACGAATTGGAATGTGAAGTCAGCAAAAAATAATTATAACAGATTCAAATGCAGGTTTGTGTTCAATGTCAATTCAATGACGTAGAATCTTCTTGGATGCGAATAGACTTTGGAAAATACATTTTTTAGATATGTTTTGTATGCCATCATAGTGCTTATAAAAAAGTAGATCAACGAAATAATAAGAAAGGAAAATCCAAAAACTGCTGTTGTCTGGCTTCAATTGATATTTTAATAAACTAAGCACCACAGATACCAAAAAAAAAAAGATAAACATATCAGGGTATTATTTATTTTCAAAATTTTCTATTCTAATTTGCCAGGTTTCAGGTTTTTATAATCCCCCCCCCCCCCTGGGTCCGCCACTGCAAATTATTGTCCAAGATTTTTTTTAAATATATATCGTTGAAATAAAATAAATGTGTAACAAAAAGTAAATAAAGTTTGTTTGTTGATTTTGTACTGCGCTAACGGAGTAACATTCCAACCTGCAGCTGGGCACTGTTTAACATTTTGACCTTTGATTCGGCACTCCACATAGTATATGTATATACCATTCCGACCTGAGGCTCAGCAACATTCAAGTACGGATCTCGGCACTCCGCATTAATTGGCGGTCCGAATTCAAACGGACCAATGAAATATGCCTAGGTGCCGAATCCTATACCGGAATGTTTAGATGCACCCGGGACCATCAGCATGCGAAGCAAATCTCAAACTCAAACTCAAAATCTCTTTATTTAAACAAATTTAGGTTACATATGGTAGAGGAAGGTGAGGCCCTCCTCAGACAAAATACATATAACAATTACTGATATCTAGGGACAGTACTTATAACTAACACTCAGTGTGCGCCGCACACTGCGTGTCGCATGCGCGCCTAGCGAGCTTTGTGACACTTCGTCAGCTTGGCCGATGTCCTGGCCGACAAATCACCGTCCCTTTCCCATTTGGTTCCGCTCTCAACGTTCCCTGGTTGCCCTTTAACGTTATTCTGTGACCTTGATGTCGTTGGTAGATACCACGGATGGCGCACATTGGGCCACTACACTGGCCCGCTCAAAAAAATAGGGGTTGATGACTGGTATGGGATGTCGAGCGCGCAGCGCCCTCTTCGTAGGGAAAAGTTTCGAAAAAACCCCACTTCCAATTAACTTAATAATATACAGAGAACAAAACAAAAAAGTCGTGCCCCGTAGGGCGATATGGTCCATCATGGACGCTACCTCAACAGCAAAGTGTGAGCTAAGGGTTTGTGCGCGTGAGCGTGGGTTTGGATAAAATGGGGTCGAAAGCCCTGCACCCTGACCAATCCTGAGGCCTGATGAGTCTCTAGGTAGTGGTTTGGGTGCAGGTGAAGGAAGATTGTGAGGGATGTCAGAGAATGAGGGTTGGGAGGATTGGGTGCAAGAATCTACCGGGATTGGGATATGCATTTGCAGCTAAATTGGGCAATTTTGCCTAAGTATGATGGTCAGATTGGGGTTGTCCGATGTTTAATTAGACAAGTGCATTTCCTCATAGCCAGCGATAAAGGAGATGTTTACACACTAGATCGCTGACCAGTTGGAATTTTCCGAAGAACAGATGGTAGAAATTAGACCTTTGTTGGGATTGCCGAAGCAAATCACTATCCACTACGCTGCCTGGTCGGTAGTAAGACGACATTGTTTAAATAAAAGTAATATTACCCAGAAGTCACAAACTAAACATAGACTCCTGAGCACATCTGCATGGATTATAAGATTTATACAAAACATAAAAAATTAAAAATAAGGGAGACGAGAAGGCAAACTTGAAGTTGATGAAATTGAATACGCAGAAAGATTATCGATAGAAACAATTCAAAACCAGTATTTTGCAGAGGATATTGAATTAATTAAATCTGGAAATCAATTGAAGAAGAATTCTAAATTATATAAATTTTCCCCATTATATGATGTCGAAATTTTGGGAACTACAATAGAAAATAAGTATGCAGATATAGAATTTGATTCCAAATTTCCCTTAATATTACCACCTACAGATACAAGATATGTTGAGTTGCTTTTACAGTACTACCATGAAACTGTTTAAAACATTGGCCAAGAAATATTTATCAACAATTTAAGACAAAAATTCTGGATAATACGTGGTAGACAAAGTGTTAATAAGTATATTACATTATTAGCCAGGTAAAACAGTTTTTACTGGTGAATGAAGGAAATGACTAGCGAGCCGTCAGCTTGTCACCTTCAAGAGCCAGTAAAAACTGATACCTGGGGGGGTTTATTTGAAACGTGCAATTCAAATACGTCTGACTAAGTCGCAATTTTTGCCGGTATTTCAATGCTAAAAAATGCGACTTAGTCAGACGAATTTGAATTGCACGTTTCAAATAAACCCCCCCTGGCGTATGATGTACAATTATTTATTTGTTATCATTTGTAAACAATAAATAAAAAATTAATACATAGGTAATACAATTTTAAGACGATTTCGCCACGTTTTGGTAACCCACTTTGGTTGGTCAAAAATGTACCAACCAATTTCGGCACGGAAAACAATGACGTCACGATAACTTTGGTATCTATTTTGGTCTGTCAAATTGGGTACCGAGCTTGGAGCACGGTTATTTGAATTGGTAGCTTGCTCTCTCTCTCTAATTTGGAGTAATTTAACCTCACTTTTTTGTTTATGTTTATATTTAATTAAACGATTTTTTTCACTGTTTGATGAGTTTCAAAAATGTTGATTTAATTTAATTTAGAATTAAAAAAAATTTAAAATGAGCGTGGGCAACAAACAACACTCAAATGGGGTCTCATTCCTAATTAATGGAAAACATTTAACTTTTTTCGAGTGCAACGAAGTTTGTGTACTATTAATAGAAGGTAAGCAGCAATATTTTTTTTATTTTTGTTCTGTTGTATTAGACTATTAGGCCCTCAATTAGACTATAACAATTATCTATTTTGAATGTATCACTCACTTGCAAATCAGTTATTTGTTGTTAGTTGTTAGCTTAGCTTACATCTTATAATCTATTTTACCACACTCTATACAAGAATAATTAATTATTGAAGGCAAGGGATAATTATCTGGAAATATCCTATTCTGTTCCTATTTATGATTGATTGTAGTTAGATTAGTTTCTGGATTCAATATAAAATAGGTATACCTATATGGTGAGATGGATCATGAAAAGTATCAGGGTGTTTTCTGTTTTCAACGAATGATTTACACTTTCTACCTATTTCTAATATTATCATATTATTGTTTTGCAATTTTAAGACGATGCTTTTGCAATTGATTACATACTATGGGCCACTTTATCTGGACAATTAGCAGCACATGGAGTCAGCCCTGAACAAGCAGATTCATTAGATATTGTAAGAACTGCTCAGCAAGATTTCTGCAATTTGACAGCCACTTCAGAAGGTAATTTAAATATATGATATATTATTATTTTTGTTCGTAACTTCCATTTATTGATTTGCAAATACATTCTTATGGCTATTTGCACCGATCATTTTAAGGAACCCTTAGCGATAAGTGCCCCTTAAAATGACATTTTACGTGGAGAGATGTCACTTTAAGGAATACTTATCGCTAAGGCTTCCGCAAAATTGTCGGTGCAAATGGCCATTAGTGTTTCTGATTTGATGTACATTAACATTCTAAGAACATGAGCCATAGTAAAATGCACTTTAAAAAGAAATCTAAATATATCATACTTATTGTTCTATAAAATAAGTAGCTATTTTTCTTCTTTCATTTTTCAGAACTTCACATTATTGAAAGTGAGAGCTCACCCAGCCTTCCCCAGTTTTCCTAAACTTCTCAGCTTAGTTCTCAGCTAACAACAGGTATAATCAGTTTACTTAATTTGTATGATAATAGTGTTAAAATAATCATGAACATTTCAGTCTTGATTTCACAGTTTCTCCAATTAGTCAAACATATTTATTACCTATTCTTTTCTACTTCATTTTAATAGCGCTGACTGGTTGATGATTGTTCTATGAGCAATACTAATTTTATTAACAACACAATTGTTTTTTAGAAGTAGAAAAAAGAAAAGGAAAAACAAAAGAGTTTAGTAGGGAGACTACTACAGTTCTGTTGGACATAAGAGTTTCCGAAAAGTTCAAAAAACTATTCAATGACAAAAAAAACAGTAAGTCCCAGTTATGGAATAAAATTGCACAAGAAATGGTGATAATGGGGTTTGACTTGGGCGATAAAATGGGTGAGAAATGTCGGCAAAAATTTGCCAATTTACAAAAAAGCTACATAGCGTTTAAAAATAATGGCAGACAAACTGGGGCTGGTGCAATAGATAAACCCTGGTATTATGATTTGATCGATGGTATTTTGCGTGACAAGGATACCCAAATAAGAGATCGCTCCATGGATCTGCTGTTTGCTCAACCGAGCACTTCCACAGACTAGCCAAAACAAGCCTCCCAACCATGCTACCAACTAAGAAATAATTTCCAAGAGGCAAGTAACAAGGAAAATATTTTCAAAAATGTAAAAAAAACTGTGAAACCATCAACTCCCACAAGTGTCCAAGTGTTGAAAGATATTCATAACTCCACAAAAAAAAGTTTAGATGAAAACAAGGTTCTTTTGGAAAACTTTTTTGAAAGGCAGAATGAGGATAACAAATTTAAGGAAAAATTATTGAACATTTTTTCAGAATCTTTAAAACCCAGAAGAAATGACAAACCAAAGAAAAGAAAACGTGAAAGCTCAAGTGAGTCTGATGATTAATAATTTTATCAGCACTCGTTTGGTTTTGTGTTTAGAATTATGTACTTTTGTTTATTGTGATATCCTAGAATTATTTATATTTATGTTTTGTTTACTAGTTACTTCATTTCGTTTTTCAAGTCCAGTTTATTATTAGAGTTCGTTTTTTTTTCTTCTCATTTCATAGAGGTTTATTTTTGTAGAATTTATTTTTATGTTTTCTTTCATAGCAATTTCGTTTTTGAGTTTAGTTTGTTATTAGAATTTGTTTTTTTTTTTTCACATAGGTTTATTTTTGTAGAGTTTATGTTTATTTCTTTGTGATTTGTTTATAATAGGAATTTAGATTTTTTTTTCCAAAGATATTCCCATGTGATAGAAAGGCTGTTGTCTATAAACATTTGTATAGAAATTAATGTTTATTGTTTAATTAATTAAGGATAATGGTTCAATAAAAAAATCATAGCATTTGAAACTTTTATTATGCATCAATACTAACCAAACACAAAATTGGAAACTCATAGTAAGTATTTAATTTTAAGTATATTATTGTGAAACTATTTCTTAAACTTAAATCTCGAAACACTGTTCTAAAGTCTTAACTGAAAACTAAGTAAAATAAAAAAACTACATACACAAAACATCTATTGCTGCCTCTATTTTAACATAAAGAATGAATAATGATAGATAACTTGATGTTGCTGTTGAAATAACAGAAAATGACACTAAGGCCTGATTGACTCACATATGTTTATAAATATTGTCTCTTTTTGTAGCACCCTGTATATTGAAAACAAAGTCTTCTGTAGTGACATGAGATTCTTGGGAATCACTATCTATTTTTTCTTTAACCTCATTTATCAAGTCACCATTTATATAGCAAAAATTGTGCAAAACACAACAAGCACATATTATTTTAATAACCTTTTTAATGGTATAAACATCAACATATTTTAGAATCCTCCAACGACCCTTCAAAAGACCATAAACATTCTCTATAACTACTCTGGCCCTGCTCAATGTTGTATTATGTCTCTTCTGCTGTGCTGCTAAATGGCCATTATCCCTAAAATAGTAATAAAATTGTGTCTCAACTATATTTTCATTGTAATTTATAAGGTAAAAATTATTGTTATTATACCTGTACGGAGTCATAAGCCATTCCAAGCAGTGGTAAGCCGAATCACCAACTAGATGATATTTATCAAAAAAAATATTTATCTTTGCCTTCCACTGCAATGTTGACATAAATAGCACTTTCTTTAAGAACCTATGGGATGAATCACAAATAAAATTTACTTTCCACCTGTTCGATAGTAGAATATTGACTTATCAATCATGTACACTACCAGGAATACCAAAACAAATATTTGTTAAAATTTTGGAAGCTGTACAGATGCCTTGTAAAATCACACTGTGGCTACTTTTTCTATTTGAATAACTATCATGCTGACTTTCTGGTACTTTACAATTGATGTGGCATCCATCAATAGCACCAATTACATCTAAAATTGAAAAAATATATTTCACATTAATTTGTATGAGGATACCTATTTGGTCGCAATAGGTATACCTACCATAAAACTTGTTACCAGGACTAATGTTTTAAGCTATATACATTTTAATTTTCCTCTTTTCCTTTCCCCAAAGCACTTACCCTTTTATTAACGCTCGATACTCCTGGGTCCTTATTCCTTATTCTTGAAACAGTGGAGCTGCATTCCCTGGAAAACTAGTGTTCCGTCCTTGTTACTTATATCATCATTTGCATATCATTGAGAAAGACTGAACACTCATTCTCCTGGAAAGTTGCTCTCATGTTTCAAGAATAAAGACCCTGGGATACTTGTCTACTGGCCCCCATTAGAGTTCAAGTGTGACATGTATCACATCCGAGATCACACCTTTGGGGTGGAGAAACTCAGATAAATACAATTAATTAGTAACATTTTTACTTACTTGAATAACCCGATTTTTGGAAAGACTGCTTGGAAATAAGAGCACATTCATCCTTAGTTGGCCATCTTATAAATTTGTTTTTCAATCCAATTATTAAATCTATAATTTGTTCAGTGTTTTCATGTACACTTGAGATGGACACATTAAAACGATCTGAAATAGATATTAATGTGTCACCTTTGGCCAAAAACCACAAGGTCATTAATAACCCTTTTTCCAGAGGGATAAATGATCCACAGAATCTTGGGTTCCTGAGTTTCAAGGGTCCGATTTCTCTCAAAAGCTGGTTAAATGTATACCTAGTCATCCGAAAATGTGCAAAAAAGGTATTTATGGATCCATTCTTCATAAAAAATTTCCATTCTTATATGGACGTTTCGCAATAAAGATGAGGCACCTAAAATATTTCTGGTTGTGGTCGTAATGATATTTAAACGACTATTTATCAAAGGCAACAGTTCACAGTTGAATCTTCTTCTGTTAATTATTAAACTGCTCATAATCAAGCAAAGTGCTGCTTTTCTTTTTTTGTCCATCGTCTAAGCTAGGTTACTCCACCAAAAACACAAAAGTATCCAAGGAAATTATTCAACATAAACAACAAATATTCATAATAATTAATCCCGAATTTTCGCTATTTCCAATTTTAATTTTTCTAACAATAAAAATTCAGTAATCAGTGTACGTGTGATATACAACATTTTATGTATGACCCAGATTTTTTTCATATATTCGAAATGGTTTTAATTTTTCCCAAAAGATTATATTTATAATTTTTTCAATAAAAATGAGTTACGTAATGAGCTCTCATTACATCACTGAGTGATGTAATGAGCTCATTACATCACTAAGCACGATAATGCAACTTATTACGTAACTCAAATAGGCTAAAATGAGTTACGTAATAAGCTCTTACAGTGTAGGTCGTACATAAAAAGTTTTTACAGTTTAGCTGTCAATTTTACAAGTCAGTAGAGCCAGTAACTGGTAAAAATTAATTTTCGTTGTTTATGTTTTGACTTGATAAATGACGTTTTACAAATGAGTGACAAATAAAAACTTAATCCGTAAATGTTAATTCTGTAAGGTGAAAAAACCTCTAGTTTTACAGCCAGAAATGGCACTATTACCAGAATGCCGGTTACAAAATGATTGCAGACCATTTAGTTATTGTGGATTAGATTATTTTGGACCATTACAAGTAAAAGTTAAAAGAAGCACAGAAAAAAGATGTAAATAACGCTCCATTATTTACATTTTTGAATGCAAGACCTGTTCATATCGAAATAGCAGTTTCATTAAGCACAGATCTACACTGTTGGCATTAACAAGATTCATTGCAAGACGAGGAAAACCACAAGAGATTTACTTAGACACTGAGACAAATTTTATTGGAGCTAAAAGAGAATTGACAAAATAGGTATTCGGACGAAATTGATAAAAACAAAATAAAAAGAGAAATGAAATTTTTAAATATAAGATGGCATTTTAATCCGCCAGGCGCTCCTAGTATGGGAGGAGTTTGGGAAAGATTGGTGAGGTCGGTGAAACAGGTCCTGTACTGTATATTAAATGAACAATTACCATCTGAAGAACTCCTTAACACAATTTGTTTCGAAGCAGAAAGTATAGTACATTCTCGACCCATAAGATATGTTTCATCTCATGAAGAAGACTTGAGTGCTTTGAATCCGATGCATTTTTTGGAAAAGTTGACACGAATATTCATTTTTAAAAAGTGGAATTTTTATTTGTTAGTACGTTGTGAAAAATGTTAGGAACCAAGTAAGTTGATTATGGTTATTTTAGTTTAAAAAAATATTTAACTAACCTTATGGAAATTGATGTATATACCTATGCAGAGTATAAAATTTATGATTTTTGTCAATAATATGGCATAAAACCTATATAAATTTAAAATTCTAACCAGTTAATAATTTATACATCCATTTTTATACTTTGTACCAATTATTGACATAAGCGTCGATAGATGGGGCAATGGAGCCTTCTCTTCTCGTCTGAATATTTAAGTATCTTCTGAACTTAATCTTATCTGTCTGAAAAATTTAAAGGAAACTATATTACACTAACGCCTTGCCAATTATCGACCCCCATGTTTCCCATTTGGTAACAACGTTAGAGTGGATGTATTATGTGTGTCGGTGTGTGGTACCAAGTATGTCAATAACTGGGACTCATTTTGTCAGAAAAAATATAGGTACTCAAGATGAAAAAAAAGCAAAACATTCCATATTCGGTAGAAGCTATGGAACAAGCGGTCAACGCTGTTAAAAATGGAATGCCCACAGCGCAAGCTAGTAAGGTTTCCAAAGTACCAAGAACAACCATAATAGCAAAAGTCCAAGGAAAAAGCGCCAATTGAAAGGAAAATTGGTCCTAATACAGTTTTAACAAGCGATGAAGGTAAGTTGCTGGTGAAATGGATGTTTCACATTGCCACTTGTGGCTTTCCTGCAACAAAACTGTAGCTTATAGACAGTGTACAATTGCTGCTAAAAAATCTAAAAAGAGCGAATAATTTTACCAACGGAAGACCAGGTCGCCATTGGTACGAAGCTTTCATGAAGCGGCATCCAGAACTTTCACAAAGAGTTTCCCAAAATCCAACCAATGCTCGAGCCACCATAACTGAAGGGAAAATCCCTCGTTGGTTCCAAGAAGTCAAGAAACAAATATTTTGAGTTTGTCACCTCATTTAGTATTGACATTTTACTATT